GCTCCACCTTTCTCCTCTCCTCCCTCCTTTCTCCACCCTTCTCCTCCCCCTCCACAACAGCGTCGACGCTGGCAGCATCATCACGATTGAGCTGTTGCAGGTGGAGGTGGCGACTGCCAGGGTTTCTGAGACATTTTCTCGCGGTGGTGGGAGGAAGAAGAAATTACAGTGAAGCAGTTGGATGGTTGTGTGGCTCGACGATGGGTTTGTGGCGAATCAGAGTTGAGGGAATTAGAGAGGCGGCGGATCTGTATGTGTGGCTATTGTTGGTGGTTGGTTGTTGTTGTTTGCTGTTGGTGGTGGTGGATTTGTTGTTGGGGACGGATCTATGTGTTGGCGAATCTGTTGGTGATGGTTTGGGCTGTTCTGTGGTGGTTTGGGTGGTGGTTGTTGTTGGTGTTATTATTTGTGGATGGTTGTAGAGGTGGAGGTGGAGGTGGAGGTGGCGGTAGGGATGCGACGAAGAGTGTCTGTGACCAACTAGTTGGTCGATTTGTGACGAATATTGGTAGTATATTGGGATCGGGGGACGGGTGTTTGAGTATATGTGACCAACTATATGGTTCTATATGGCTACCTTAAAATTCGATTGTCTATGACCAACTAGTTCCGACAGTGGAGGTGGCGGCGAAGAGTGTCATGACCAACTATTGGGTTGATCTGTGACCAAGTATTGGTGGCGGATTGGGATCGGGGACGGGTGTTTGCGTGTATGTGACCAATTATATTAGCTATTAAACGATGACCTTAAAATTCGATAATCTGTGACTAAAAATATAATCTGTGATCAACAAATTTGGAAATATGTGACCTCTGTTATCTATAATTTTTTTTAACTTGTGACCAATTAAACATTTGTGACCTATAATTTTTTAATCAGTGACCAATGATGTCAACTGTGACCCGAATATTTTTTTATTTGTGATCTAGGAATAATCTGTGACCAATAATTTGATAAGTTGTGACTGAAAGTTAATATTTATCTAATTAATTAGATATCTATGACCAAATAGCATGTAATTGTGACCTTAACAATTGTCGAAATCGGAGCAGTCTTCGAAATTAAGCGGCGGTGGAACGGTCACCGAAGTACTTTCCGATCGCCGGAGTAGAGTGGCCACCTGAACTGTCGCCGGAGCAGTAGGGGGTAGGGGTGGTAGAGGTGGGATGGGGTGGGGTGGGGTTAATTATATTATATTACAATTAAACATTTAATTAATTAATAAAAACCTGATTTTTACATTTTTGAAAGCACCTGATTTTTTATTTGGGCAAAGATAATACCTGATTCATAAATTTTTCCATATTATTTAAGCAAGAGTCGTTAGTCAATTACGGGGATCTGAAGCTCAAATATGTTCGACTTTGCAAGACGAATATTTAGTGTGTGTGTGTGTGTGTGTGTCTGTCCCATTATTGTAATAGAAATAGAGTAATAAATAGTATTTTTTGGAGAATGTGTGGTTAAAATTTAAAGTAACTTTATTGATTTGTATATAGAATATTTTATTAGATGAATATGTGATGGAGAATCTTACTGTAACAAATAATGTCTTGACATAATGGGAGACAAATGGAGCCTTAGTGGGACGAAATCAATTATGAGTACACATCCAAGTTGGCAAAGGATGGGCACTGCTGGGCTTGCAACTTCAGGATGGGGAATTCGATTATTGGATGGAGTAGTTGAGTGTTGTAATACTCAATTTGGATAGAGCAGATTGGTGATGTAATATCCATGAAGAAATGCTCTCTTGGGGTCAGGAGTATAAATGGTGCACAGACCCTGATCAACTTAAGCATATCTCGCGGTTAACCTCCACCCATCACTGGGGGGCCGAGAATAGGTGGTTCAGGACATAATTTGATGTAAGATAGGATAACTGGATATCAAAAAAAAAAAAAAAAGGAACCGTTGAAATTGTTAGAAATTGGAAGCACAACACAAACGAGGCACATGGTCGAATATTTTAAAATTTGTTTGACTCGAAAGTCATAACTTTTCAAACAGTCATGTCCTTTTTAAATAGTTGCATCTTTTCAAGACAACGAAGCACAACTTTTTCGAACAAAACAAATAGATCCCCCAATGTTTTCAAAATTATTCATTTATTCGTACAATTTTTCATGGACTGTGCACTATTATTATCCAAAATTATGATTCAACATTAGTTTAAGCCTAATTTTATGTAAAGAGAGTACAAAATATAGTCTCATTCGCTCCTCTTAGTCCTGTCTACCGATCATTATTTGAAAATCATTTTCTCTACACTTATTTTCAATCATACATTCACACAATAAAATATTCTGTATATAAACTTGAACCGTGCTATAGGTACAGAAAGATTTGCCAGACAATTGCCAGATTTTTGAAATCAAAGGCCATGATTTATACAAAAAGGCGGGAAAAAAAAAATCAAAGGCTAGGAACATTTTCTGGTAAAATTCTGAGAAAATACTCAGGGAATTTTCAGAATTTATACAAAAAGGCGGGAAAAAAAAAAAAATCAAAGGCTATGAACATTTTCTCTGGGAATTTTCCTATAAACTTATAACTTTTCCTTATTTTTTAATAACATATTTTTTTTTTTAAATCACTATTCAAAATATTATTTTGACCAAGTAATGTCCATTAAATAGGGACTTAATTTATAGGGCTAAGTATGAGAAATAGTTATTGAATCTTAGGAGACGTGCCAACAAACCGAGAACAAAGGTTCACGCCATTTCATTTTATGGGGAAAAAGACCTTGACCAAATTCATTTTTGTGCATTTCTACATTTATGTAATCCCAAACTTGTCCCCTTTTTTGAACACTATATTTACGGTGGTATACTCAACTAAATTTTAATAAAATACATTTAAATCTTAATTGTGAACCCTTAAATTTAGAAATACTTTCAAAATCCATCAATATATATATGGGTGTATATGTGTGGATTTACGTTCTTTAACCATCTTACAAAGCCCATCAAGATTGTAGTCCTTTTGATGCTCAAATTATACATGTAAGACCCAAAAACACTTTCAAGTGCGAAATAAGTTTCAACTTGTGCACTCATAACAAAATAGCAGACATGAGACTCTTAAGACACAAGTTATGCCTACTCTAATAATGTGAACCTTATCGTCACATTTTTTCCTTCTCTGATATAATTGAAATGGTTCTAGAACATGATAGAATTATACAACTTGAAAAATCAACCAACTTAAAAATGTAAAATACACATTATAAGGATATGAGCATTTTCCAACGCACATCACATACGAAAGAATTTGTACATAGAACCAATGAATTCTAGTACTAATATAAAAGAATTCAAGGATTCAAACTCTATTTAGTCGCCAAAAACATTCTGATTCACATTTCAGGTATTTTTCGATGACAATAACAGTACAAAATTCCTCTATAGAATTCAACAAGGCAAGACTGTACAAACTTGTGCGACCAACTGAACCATCAGTTGCAGTAGCATGTCAACTTAGGCCTTTTCAAACAAACCATCAGTTGCAGTAGCATGTCAAAAGCACATCTCAATCAATAAGCAACTTTTCCATGACACCATGTCGAAACTGTCGATACTCAGCACACACTTCAAATTAGAGAACCATTTTTCTCCACATGGAAGTTCGAAATTTTGAAAATAGTTAACAGAACATGTGATCAATAAAACTTACTTATCATATCAGTACTCCATCAAGAAGTGATACTTGAGATATCTCAAAGAACAGCTACTAAAAACATGCATACCTAAAAATTTCTGGCAACCTGAAAAAAATAGCAGCATTTATAAGGTTGATATGTCCAGGATCTTTCAGAGATAAATACACTGGTACAGGCGAAGATGAAACATGACATATCCAAATTTAATGCCGCCAACACAAGATAAGGTGGCCTTTTAGTGTGCATACTGGTGTAGAACTAGAATGATAAATTCAAAGCAAAGGTTCCCTTTATTGAAGAAAGAGTTTAAATATAATGAAACTTCAAGTGCATCACGAGCTTATCTATCAACATCCTAGTTAATCATAACTGGTCAAACCTAGTCTAAATCAAACGATGGAGATGTAATTTATATTCAGTTGAAGCCTTTCCAGGTTTTTGTGTTATTTTATGTCAAACTAATATATTTTATAGTTTTAGACAATTGTACCTTTATTTCCATATTTGGTTTCCAACCATAGTTAGGCTTAAACTAACCCTATGCAAAGAGGCTTAATACTTGCTAAATCCACACTTCGATACTGAATACAAACATTTCGCTAACTCTTTCTCTTACGATTCTCTCCCCATTTACTCTCTCTCCCTGATTTCTTTTCTCCCCCTTTCCCTTCTCCTCCCCTTATTTCCTCTTCTATAGCGATTCTATTGTTCAATACAGGCATCTGTTGTCAGTTTGATATCAGAGGGGAAAAAATTGACCTAGTTCTTTAGGTTTTGTTCCTATTTTTGTACACTTGGTGAGTGATAAATTGCCGTTATTCAAAATAAATTGGGTTGTCTCAATATTCCGTCCTATTGTCAATACCATGCACGCCTCAATAGAGGAACTCTCTTAGCTACATCTATCCCTGGGTCGATGCCACAATAGCAAGATTGATCAATGATCACCATTGTAGACACAATTATCAACATTCTAGAGACTATGTTTAGCACACCCATTATGCTACTAAGGAAATCAACTTAAAACTACAAGACCTCCATGCTCGCCTCGATTGCAAGTCATTTCTTGTTTGGCTACATACACTTGAAAAATCCTTTAACTTGCACAACATAAGTGACTGGTCGTTGTATTCAATTTTCTAGTGCGACATTTGCAGGGTATGCCAAGCATTTTTGGCAGTCACTATTGCTTAGCTTTGATCTTTTAGGTTAATGTCCTATCATTTTATGAGATGAGATAAAACAAATATTAAGAAACAAGTACACCCTTGTTTATTATTGGATTAAGTTGATCAATTCTTTTAGCACCATCGGCAAGTCCACTCTTAGCGAATGTATGCCTCATTTCAAGGAGCTATTATAAGTCGGGATATTTATGAAGCTCTTCATGTCAGAGCTTCTAGTTTATAAATGGTTTGGATCTTGAAATCAAATGTCAAAACTTTGTAACATTCAAGTCATTAGAAGAAGGCTACCACAAAGCATCAGATATTGAAAAGCTCTTCCCTTTTCAAAAAATGAATCATCCCTATTACTTGATTTCTGATTCCCAACATTCTTGCCCCCAACTTGTTCTCTAATAAATATCATATCAATTTTCAATAAGTTATTGATAATAATAATAGTTATCTATTAAGTAAAAATAAATTATCTTCTATGGCTAATAAAACACTTCTTGCGTCTTCTAAGGCGTTCGATACACATCGAAAATCTAAAAATTATAAAATAATTAAACAACACGTATCCAATACGTATCATAGAGTGTTCAAGTGTATCCAAGCTTCAATACGTATCCAATACAGATACGCAATAAGTTTATAAGTATATGTGCTTCTTAGGTGCCATACTACGCCAACTTTGAATAAGAGCGATATATTCACCTCCTTCCCTACTCATTCATCTACTGCGCATTTCCAGTATGGATTGGCTTGCTTGGCTTGCTGACGTATGCTGACATTCACATATTCCTATCCAAGACACTCAATTTTCATACCTTCTAAATGGAGATGAGATACTTGTTGATCATATAGAACGTTCAGGTAGTGGGAATACAAGTACTAAGCTTCGTACTAAGTCCCTCTTTGCGATTACGCCTTTTATTTACACAATTGAGGGATTACCTAAAAAGTTTCCACCTATGAAAAACATTCCACATGTCCTCGACTTAGTGCCTAATCATTTTCACCTAATCTTTTACATGACTTTCACATTGACTTTGTTTTAAGTTTTCTAATGCAATTCTCCACTTGCATACATTGTTGCCACTAATTACCATTACATTATTTCAGCTTCAAACTTTGATAACCCGATTCATAATTTCATGATGAGATAATATGTAGAGCACGGATGCTTTAACAGGAAATACTCTATTTTTTCACATTTCTTCAACACAATATCCTAAACATGATAAGAAAAAGTCCATTGATCACTGAAATTAAGGTGTGTTTGATTGCGGACATGGAATTTGCATGGGCAATTCAATTATTCACAACTTACTTGTATGGAAATTATTAATTAAATATATTTGATTGGTTTAGTTTTCAATCTAGAAAATATTACTCATCGATTTTTTTATTGGTCTGTAGATGAGAGAGTGGATAGATGAGAGAGAGAAATTGAATTTCCTGGAGGATAAAAATCACCTCCCTAAAGAAAATATTTTTCTTGTTTTTGAGGAAAATATAGTCACATGACCAAAAGTTGGAAAATATTTTCCATAGAAAAAATGTCAATCAATCGCTCCAAAAATAAGAATTTGGGTGGAAAAATGACATTTTCCATGAAAAATAAAGTCAATCAAACACACTCTTAATGTGTTTGATGGGCAATTTTACTTTAACGAAAGTTCTATTTTTAATATATTAGAATTGTTTCCTTATCGGGGCACATTCAACCTATAGGCTACAGATACTCTAATCATTTGTTTTTGCTTTTATTATACAAACACTTCAACTAGGATGACATGTCCGTATCTGACACGTATTGGATACTGATACTTCTCAAACACTCTACCATGATCATTTTTATTTCTTTATTGAAAATATTATATATTTTTAACTAAAAGTGATTATTAAATAATAAATAAATACTCATTTGAAATATTTCAAGAAGAAAAATTAATAAAAAGTATAAAACTAAAATCCCTATTACTTGATTTCTGATTCTCAACATTCTTGCCCCCCAACTTGTTCTCTAATAAATATCATATCAATTTTCAATAAGTTATTGATAATAATAATAGTTATCTATTAAGTAAAAATAAATTATCTTCTATGGCTAATAAAACACTTCTTCTTGCGTCTTCTAAGGCGTTCGATACATATCGAAAATCTAAAAATTATAAAATAATTAAAAAACACGTATCCAATACGTATCATAGAGTGTTCAAGTGTATCCAAGCTCCAATACGTATCGAATACAGATACGCAATAAGTTTATAAGTATATGTGCTTCTTAGGTGCCATACTACGCCAACTTTGACTAAGAGCGATATATTCACCTCCTTCGCTACTCATTCATCTACTGCGCATTTCCAGTCTGGATTGGCTTGCTTGGCTTGCTGACGTATGCAGACATTCACATATTCCTATCCAAGACACTCAATTTTCATACCTTCTAAATGGAGATGAGATACTTGTTGATCATATAGAACGTTCAGATAGTGGGAATACAAGTACTAAGCTTCGTACTAAGTCCCTCTTAGAGATTACGCCTTTTATTTACACAATTGAGGGATTACCTAAAAAGTTTCCACCTACGAAAAACATTCCACATGTCCTCGACTTAGTGCCTAATCATTTTCACCTAATCTTTTACATGACTTTCACATTGACTTTGTTTTAAAGTTTTCTAATGCAATTCTCCACTTGCATACATTGTTGCCACTAATTACCATTACATTATTTCAGCTTCAAACTTTGATAACCCGATTCATAATTTCATGATGAGATAATATGTAGAGCACAGATGCTTTAACAGGAAATACTCTATTTTTTCACATTTCTTCAACACAATATCCTAAACTAAGAAAAAGTCCATTGATCACTGAAATTAAAGCGTGTTTGATTGCGGACATGGAATTTGCATGGGCAATTCAATTGTTCACAACTTATTTGTATGGAAATTATTAATTAAATGTGTTTGATTGGTTTAGTTTTCAATCTAGAAAATATTACTCATCGATTTTTTTATTGGTCCGTAGATGAGAGAGTGGATAGATGAGAGAGAGAAATTGAATTTCCTGGAGGATAAAAATCACCTCCCTAGAGAAAATGTTTTCCTTATTTTTGAGGAAAATATAGTCACATGACCAAAAGTTGGAAAATATTTTCCATAGAAAAATTGTCAATCAATCGCCCCAAAAATAAGAATTTGGGTGGAAAATGACATTTTCCATGAAAAATAAAGTCAATCAAACACACTCTTAATGTGTTTGATGGGCAATTTTACTTTAACGAAAGTTTTATTTTTAATATATTAGAATTTTTTCCTTATCGGGGCACATTCAACCTACAGATACTCTAATCATTTGTTTTTGCTTTTATTGCACGAACACTTCAACTAAGATGACATGTCCGTATCTGACACATATTGGATACTGATACTTCTCAAACTCTCTACCATGGTCATTTTTATTTCTTTATTGAAAATATTATATATTTTTAACTAAAAGTTATTATTAAATAATAAATAAATACTCATTTGAAAGATTTCAATAAGAAAAATTAATAAAAAGTGTAAAACTGAATTTATACTATATAAATAAAGAATTTTAAAGAATCCACATCAACATGTCTGCGACGTATCATGTCAATATTTTTTTGAAAAATTACGTGTCAGCACGTGTCGTATCAAACACACATGTCCGAGTCATGCATCATAGGATTTTGCACATCAATTTACTATACACATTCTTTGTGCTGCTTCTCATTACGTGGAATCAAATGAGGTTTTGTAGATGAGTTGCCCAATTTTTTGTTATTGGGAGGCCAACATTAGAGGTGTCAATCCGGGTGGTCCGAGCCGAGTCGGCCCGCCAACATATGAGCCCGGTAACGATCCACGTGAAAAAAAGCCCACCCGCTACGGGTTTCGGGCCGATTCCGGGTCGGCCCACAAATTTTGAAATACAACCCAGGCTCGCCCGCTGACCCATCCGGGTCGTGCGGGTTGTGATTTGTTTCGATTTGGCTCGTATTATTGTATAAATAAAATTATAAAAATATAGAATTTTTCATATTTATAGCAAAAAATATTTTTTTTGTTAAATGTAAACTAAGAATTGAATAAAATGATAAATTCATATTTATACTAA